GGACTCGCCTCCCCGGGTGGATGCTGTGGGCCGCGTGTGGCGAGCGTGTGCCCGGCCCTGCGGGTGCTGGGGGCGTCCAGGCTGCCCTGGGAGCAGCCCTGGTGCCCGTGGTCGCGCCGGTGCCCATCCCCAGAGCAGCCCAGTGCCGGCACATGCGCGGGCGGTCCCGAATTGCCTCTCGTCCACCCGCAGGGGTGTTGCTGCCTGTGCCTGGCCAGACCCCACCTGCACCATGCCCACCCTGTGATGCCACCCCACCCAGCCGCCCCGTGACGCAGCCGTTCGAGGGGATCCCCTGGCAGGGACCTGCCCTGCAGCCACCGCCTTGTTTGCTCCTGCGCTGGCAGAGCCCGCGGTGGCTGCGCCCTCGCAGGCAGAGGCAAAAGCAGCTCCGGCCCCTGGCCCCAGGGCTGGTGCACATGAGGTAAGAGGGACACGGGGAACCTCTTTGCGTGTCCCCGATGGGGACCAGGGTGGCAGGAGGGGTCCTTGCCCGTGTCTGCTTTCTCTGGGTCTCGTGCTGCCCTGGCCAAGGGAGCAGGGCACGGTGTGTGGGGCTGCACAGGGTCAGCTGCACTGGGGGTCCCTGGGGGTGCTGCCACACAGCCCGAGCCCTGTGTGTGCCCCCCAGAGATGGCCTTCCAGCGGAGCCACAGGCTCAACCTGCTGCGCCTCGTCGTGCTGCTGCTCGTGACCTTGGCTGGCATCAAATTCCTCTTCCGTGACAGGTGAGTGGCAGCAGGACCCCAGGCGCGGGGTCCCGGCGGGCTCAGGGTCCCAGGAAAGGTCTGCGGGGAGACCCTGGGTCGTGCCCACGCAAGGGTCTGGTGCTGGGGTGCAGCTGGTGGCCCTGCGCCCCACGGCACCCCCAGCCCTGCTCCGCTCCCTGCAGCTTTACCCTGGAGCTGCACAAGCACGTCAGCAAGGACAGCGGGTTCTGGGAGGACACTGGGGACGCCGGCCCCCAGAGCCAGGCTCTGGAGCTCGCTGCTGTGAAGATAACGGCCCCGAGGCAGGAGCAGCAGGTCCCCAGGGACTTCAGCACCACCCAGCTGAGGCTGGTCCACCTGGATCTCAAGGGAGCTGCGCCCAGGGTCTCCTACCTGGAGCAGGTGGGGATGCCCAGGGACCAGGGAGGGATGGGGCAGCGGCAGAGCGAGGCGAGGCTGTCCCCACCGGCCCCCGGGGGCTGTGTTATCCCTGCTGGCTGAGCCCTCCCTGCCCGTCCCGCAGCTGTTCCCCCTCCTGTCCCAGCTGGGAGCCAACGGCATCCTCATCGAGTACGAGGACATGTTCCCCTTCAAGGGGGAGCTGGAAATCCTCAAGTCCCCCTACGCTTACAGGTGAGCCGGGGCTGTGTGCTGAGCTGGCGGGGAGGGGTACCGGCTCGGTGAGGCCCCGGCAGGTCACGGTGTGCCCGGGACTG